CAGACCCATTTCAGTACGAGAGGAAGATGAACCGTAAAGTCGCCCTCGTCATGGTCAGCGTAACGTGGATCGTGTCAGTGGCCATATCATTCGTGCCCGTGCAGCTGAACTGGCACCGCGCAGATCTGGGGACGGTCAACACAAGCAACTGGACCACTAAGGAAATGTGTGATTCGAGTCTGAGTAGAACTTATGCCATATCATCTTCCCTAATAAGTTTTTACATTCCCGTAGCAGTGATGTTGGTCACATACACGCGGATCTACCGCATTGCTCAGGTTCAAATCAAGAGCATCTCTTCGCTGGAGCGCGCAGCAGAGCGCGCGCAGAGATGCAGGGCAGGTGCGCGCACCTGTCCTCTCCAACACCGCGCCATAAGAGAAACCAAACTCTTTAAAACTCTGTCCGTGATTATGGGGGTGTTTGTGTGCTGCTGGTTCCCGTTCTTCGTCTTGAACTGTGCGGTTCCTTTCTGCCACAAGCCAAATTGTGTCAGTGAAGCAACTTTTAACGTGTTCGTGTGGTTCGGCTGGTGCAACTCGTCACTAAACCCCATCATCTATGCTTTCAACTCTGATTTCAGAGATGCTTTTGCTCGACTTCTGTGCTGCCATGGCCTGTGCACAAGAAGACCTCTTGCTATTCAGAGCAAGGATCCAGTGTCCACTTATAATCAGGGCAGCTCTGTTAATACTACGGAGGTCGGGTATATCAGTTTGCATAGGGTGGACAATGAAATGCAACGTCCTTTGGTGGAGCTACATAAGCTTGGAGATGAGGTTAAGGATATTAACTCAGAAGATGCATGTCAGAATAAATGACTTTTAGGTGTAGGGGAGACCGGGGCAAGTTTTAACACTATATCAGGTTGTATTTTTGAAAAATGTCCAGCAAACAAGATGTTCCTTCAACACATTGTTTCTAACAGGGTTGTCACACTGGAAACCTGCTTGAATGATGAATGATTTGAGGGGAGTGGAATTTTTAATCTTCTAAAGTAAAAATGCCATCTATTTAAACTAAAAGGGCTACATTTTTTTAGTAAAACAACAGTAAAACAATTCATCCAAAATGCATGTAAACATACATAATAACAATAAATTTGACTAACAGGCATTCATACATTGTTTATATGGGACAACTTGCCCCAAATAACTTTTGAACATAATTCAGCAACAAGAAATTATTTTTGAGCAAACTTAAAGGGACAGATTGCTCAAAAATAAAAAAAAATTATGTCGTCACTAACTCACCATCATATTGTTATTATTAACTGTGTAGTTAATGCCTACACAATGGAAGTCAATGAAAATTCTTTAAAATATAATATTTTGTATTCTGCAGAAAAAAAAGTAATACAAATGCAATGGGGATGAGTAAATGATGACAGCATTTTCATTTTTGGGTGAACTGCCCCTTTAAGAATGGTTTAGAATTTCCTCTTGAAACTATATTTCATTCATATACATCATTAAAATGCAGATTAAGTTAAGTTTAGTTAAAATCTGCCTTCAGTTGACCCTTAGCTTACTATTGTGCTCACTATACCCAATTGCAAAAATATCCTAAATTGAGAGTTTTGAGCTGTTGTAGGCAGTGGCGTAGGTTTGATTTTGAAATTGGCGGGGACGGGTCATCAATATATAAATATATTTTAAGTTTCGATCTAAATTATTGCTATGGATTTATCATTGTCACTGGATATAGGGACACGTCCCTAGCGTCCCTACTAAATTCTAGCCCCTGACTGTATTTGAAACCAATTGGATTTCTACATCAAACCCTTCAAGTTCCTTAGATATCAACTTCCTGTGTCTCCTCAAAGTCTACTTTTTTGTTTTACTGATTTGCACATAATTACAAATGACCACACTGGTCAGGTGATTGCATCTGTAGCCACAGAAAGAGATCTGAGGTTTTAATAGACCGAATGCCAAAGAGCTTGATGAGTCCCAAGTATCGTTTTCCATTAGGCACGAGCGCACACAGTTACTTCCTCTCATAAATAATTAGTTGGCTGCAATCTCCACTCAAGGAATGTTACATTTCACTGTGCAAAAGGGCTTTCAGACTGTATATATGCTTTGAAAGTGCATTAAGCATGTTGTTGCTCATGCTGAACATGGCATTTTATAGGGTAAAAACTGTGCATAACAATAATCAGGTTTATTCTGTTAATTAGGTTGATCATCTAGACTTTGGAATTGGGTTGGACATCTTTTTCCTTCAATGGAACATATGATTCTTCTTGATTTGTGTTTAATTAAATTAATTGCAAGTACCAAAGGTAATTTAAAATGGGCTTTCCTGTAAAGGTTGCAAAAAGCAACATTTCCTGAGCCTTGGGAGACTTTTAAGGAGACATTCGCGACAGGCATGTTACGAATGTAATTAATTCACAATGAGAGGTTTCAGTTGGCTCACAGCAATGAATAAAACATGGAAAGGCAATCCCTAATCCCATAATAACCTTAAACAAACTGAAAAATGAGGATTGATTTTAAAATGTTAAACTGCAACATGATTGTTATGTGTAGATTATGATGATGCGGACTCTGTGTAAATGCATTTGTGGGTGAAAATCACTGCTCAGATTTGTTGCTGAATGCCCGAAAGTTTAAAATTGATGGGCCCTGCAGCTAAAAATACATTTTATGACCCTCCTTGATGTCTTCATTCTTTGAAGCACAACCGGCCCCAGAAGGTTGCTTTAATTTTGGAATCCGCAGGGATGCTTGTCTATTGAAATTGTTAAAAAGAGCCATGACAGAGCTGCGAAGAACAAGCACATGTTCCTTCCTTTTTACTTAAACTCAGATCTAAGTCTTCATTTTTTCAGTGGCTGGGGAGTAACAATGGAACAATTAAAATCCTTATAGGTCACAACATATTTGGATAATTAAAGGGGTCCTGTTCAACTTTCTTTAGTGTGCAATGTGGCTGTTTGAGCATGAAAAAAGTCTGCAAAGTTTTAAAATCCCCTCCAAAGGGACTTATTTTCAATATCAGTGAGCACTTTTTCTGAACTCGCTGAAACACCTGGATTGTAGTCTCGAGTTTTCTTCCCAGAACACGCCACAATATCCCTTATTTGAATAATTGCATTATATGAAAAAGGACTGGTTGAGTTTCATCAGAATATTTGTGTTAAAATGGTAAGGGGTTGACCAATCAAAACACACTGATCCAATCATCCTATCAGAGGAGATTGTGCTTTTTGAAAGGAGGGGCTTCCTACACCTGTGGTAGACTTGTGTGAACTTAAGGAGAACTGACTTTATATATCACTATAAATCACTCTTCTGAGACCAACTGCTTAAAGTAATTGCAAAAATGACTAAGAAAAGTGGTTTGTTTCAAAAGATGCACAGGCATCATTTGTTTGCAGATCCCACTTGATATTATAAGCAAGAGCCTTTAGTTTTCAAATACTTTGGGGCCATTGCATTTGCTTACTTAATGAAGAAGAAGAAAGAGTATCTTTCCGTTTGTGCGCTTGGTCATCAAACACTCACAGTAATGTTAGCCTGCACACTGAGTTTCCTGTGACTGTAGTCAGTGAGGTTAATGTGCATGATGTCAGGACAGGAGATCATTCACTGAGGGAGGAACACAAACAACACAGGAATCAGTGAAGTGCGCTTAATTAAGTAAAAGTATTTTTTATTTTACTTTAAAATGGAACTGAAGTATGAGTGATAGCAGTAAATAATAGAATGCTGAAGATAATTCAATTGTTTTGTAGCTCCAGTCCTCACATACTGTATAATTTTGCCATTAAAAAATAGAATATCACAAACAAATATCACTAAATTGTAGTTTATTTAAAATGGAGCATCCATTTGCAATAATTTTAAGTACCTGTAGGCTTTATGTGTTATCGATGTAACATTTTCTAGTTTGTTAATTCAGTTTTTATATTTGTACCAAAATGCTCATTTCAAGGGGAGAGAGAGTGGAAGAACTAGTTAAATATTTTCTAATTTGTCACTTAAATTGCATGTGTGTGTGTGTGTGTGTGTGTGTGTGTGAGCGCGCGAGAGAGAGAGAGAGAGAGAGAGAGAGAGAGATAGAGAGAATTTTTAATATTTCATTATTGTTTATTGAAAAACACACCTACACAATATAGTATAAGGAATTTGTTGAAATAAAACTTATTGCTGAAAAAATGAATTTGATCTGAGAACCTGTTAATGGTAGGGCATTATGCAACCTTGATAGGCCTATGTGCCATCAGGTGCCAATAGCCCTACAGTCTATGAGCCCAACACGTTTCAAGTGGTTTCCCCAAATTCAACTGAAAATGCAACTTTTAATGACGTGAAAGTGAAAGCTTAGTGAGACTACTGCTATTATTGATATACACCCCAACAAAAGGGCTAGAAACCAATCCTATATGCCACACTTTTACAGAACATTTCAAAGATTTATATCAATCGAAGGTCGATTGTATGTGATCCTATAAATGAAAATTCAATAAAAAATACATTCTCCCAAAAAAGCTGATTTTTTTTTTAGTTGAATTTGAGGAAACCACTTTTGTGGTTTACTTTTGTTTGACTTGTTCATTGGAAACAGCTGAAAGTATTTACATTAAACTGACTTAAAAGGTAGAAAATTGAGTTAAAACAAAGTAAAAACAGGCCATGCTGTAATAACGTATAAAGCTGTATGTGACCGTGTGTAGTAGTAGTCTAGTAGTAGTAGTAGAAGTAGTATAGATTTAAATCAATCACCCTTTGTTTAGATACCCTGCAAACTCTAGGCATTCGGTTTTAAAATAGTAGCCTATTGAGATACACATTTGTAGACAGGAAATAAACTAATTCTCAGCATTTAATTGTGAACAAAACAGTGATCATAAGAAATTTTCAACCATGTTCAAACCCTTTACTGGGTAAACAGTGAACGCACTCAAGTCAACGAAGTGAACTCAACCATAGACATGATATCTATGAACTCAACCACTGAGAGACTTTTAGTTTGTAGACTCATGAACCGGAACTAATGTCTTCAAGTCTGCAAGAACATCCTACAGAGGCTGTAGGAAGTGTGGATTTCTTCTTAAACATAATTTGATACGTTTGTTTGCTAAATTCGTATATGCGTTTGTGTTTTTCCCTCCGAAATATTTGTGCGCGCGTTCTGGATTGGTGGGTTTTAATCTGACCTTGTCTTTGGCTTCTGGAGCGCGTTGTAGAGGCCATAGGAGAAGATGTCTGCAGAGGAGGCGGATAAAACCACCACCACTGATGCCAGTGCAGGAGACGAGGAGGAGGAATGGCTGTACGGGGGTCAGTGAGCGCCACATCTAACGTTACTCTCGTCTACTGTACTTTGCTGTCGAACACTAACAGCTCTAGAGAAGTGTACTATAATGTGAAGCACACAATGCAATGTAGGGGCCTTTATTCTGCAGTGTTTTGAGAGTTATGAGTTACCGGTCACTTCCCTCAATAATTTTAATTCACGTCCGTGCTTTAAGAAATATTTTTCTTTACTAGGGGATTGATATAGCATCTATTTGTGAATGTATGTTATTCTTGAGACTAATTTTTCCTGAGGGAGTTGAGGTAACGTTAACTTAGATTCAGTTTTTTATTTACCTTGAATTTTTTTTTTCCCTGCTTAAATATTATTATAGACTTTATCTATTTTTCCTCTGAGAATTCTGTTTGAAACTATACGATGTTGAGGTTTTCATTTCTTTGAGAATTTGGTAGAATCTGTTTACTTGTTGTTGTTATTTTGTTCTTTTTTGATGCTAACGTTACTTTAAGAAATTAGCCAAGCTACTTATCTTTCTGATGGGAGTAAGATAGAATTGAATGAAATCTCGAATAGATTATGGTGTAGAATGAATTTGAGAATCTGTTCAACAATACCTTTCAAATATGCTCATAATTCCCTAAGGTAAATATGAAATATTTTTTATTGGGAGCAGCTAATTTCTAACCTATAGAAATGAGGTACCTGGAGCCCATGGTCAGTTTGTCACTCATGCGTTATGTCTTTCTTACAGATGAAGGGGAAAGTAAAGAAACTGAGGAAGAAGAGGCCAAACTGACAGCAGCCATCAGGTGAGATATGACATACTGGTGTTCTAGACCTGCGGTTTTCATTTGTTTTTGTTTCTTTTAGATGCCACAGACCCCAAGTAAGATGCTCCTAATATGAGGGACCCAAATATTTTCTTTTCTTTTTGTAAAGACCCAGATTAAACTGTGAAAATGTCATATTAATTATATCACGTAGGAATATGTAATATTAGTTGTATCACCAGGAGCAGGGTTGAAAACATGTAAAATGTGTCAGTACTATGGTTCACCTTTTCAAGTTAACTAAGAGGTTCATCTGCGTTGTTTTCTTCATTCTCGTGCTGATTGGTCTGTGTTTGCAGTGTGACCTCTGCTCCTCCTGATACTGAGGAGGTCACCGAGAGCACCGAGACCACCACCACAACCACCACCACTACCACTACCACCACCACTACTGGAAATGGTGTGGCCAGTCAGGTAACAATCAAGACCACTGTAAGCAGATTCCATGGAGATCATTTCTCTGTGCCATCCTATTCTTCTTATATTTAGAATGATTTTTTTTCTTTTATCTTCATTATCATTATAGTCGTCCTTGGGAATTATTTGTCATTAAAAGCATTTTTTCCCCTATGCTTTTTGCCCTGTGTAATTAATTAATAATTACCAAATTTTAGATTGAGTTACACATCTGTAGCCTATATATTGATTAGTTATGTTGAGTCGTTACAAAAAATAAAATAGGACGTTTTGTTTCTTTTTTAGGAGGAAGCACCTGGAGAAGATGAAGACAGTGAGAGCGATAGCGATGACGACGATGATGATGTCCGTGTCACCATTGGAGATATCAAAACAGGGGCGCCACAGTACACGTAAGCGTTCAGTGATTGTTCTCACATCCTGAAGATTATTATAGCCTTTTATTCATATGTAAGCTCATTCATAAAAAGGATCACATATGGTAAAGATGTAAGCTTGACTTTCGTTCATCTTTGTGACACAAATGAAGATATTTTTTATGAAATCTGAGAGCTTTCTGTCTCAGTTGACATTAGTGGTGTCACTATTTTCGGGTTTCGCGTCTTTTTTCCTCTTGGCACGCTGAACGGACGTGACGTGGTGTGGTAGCAGCGACGATTCCATTTTTTAATTCGAAGTTCGAGATTGTGAATTAATTTAGATCGATTTCGATTTAAATTTTCTCTATGGCTTTATATGGGGAACAGATTGAATTTAAGCTTTAATTCACTTATAAAATTTCATCAACTCATCAGTGGTAAACTGATTGAAAGTATACTGGTAAGCTGAGGTATGTTTGCTTGAGTTATGTCCGAGAACCAATGTGGTTCGGGTCTTAATGAAGTTTAAAGTAATAAAGCCTTAATGACAGCATTTTCATTTTTGGATGAATTATCCCTTTAATGGTTTGGTTTCCTAAATATCATTGTCAATACTGTCATTATAGGGAACTTAATGTCATTGGTGTTTTGAAGAGGGAAAACAAAGAATTTTTTTTGTTTTGTTGTTGTTGTTTTGATATATGACTGCAGAACTGATGTAATTATGATGTTTTATTGTGCAGGGCATATGGGGGAACTCCAGTGAATCTGAACATAAAATCAGCTGGCAGCAGAGCGTATGGAGGTGAATGAATCAGTGTGTTTTGCTAAGCTTGTAAATTTAAATACATGAGTGTACTTCCAGGTGCCTTTTTATGCAACGCAACATTTGTGAGCTCCTGACATAGTTTGAGTGTGTACTCGGTAGGTTCTAAAGTGAAGGGCGTAGACCTCGAAGCCCCAGGCAGCATCAATGGGGTTCCAGTCCTGGAAGTGGATGTGGAGTCCTTTGAGGAGAAACCATGGAGGAAGCCAGGTGTGTATTATGAACCAGTTTGAAGTCTCTTTTGTGGTTTTTGCATATGGTGTCTGCATAGTGTGTGTATGTATGTTTGTGTGTTTACAGGTGCGGACTTGTCTGACTATTTTAACTATGGTTTTAATGAGGACACGTGGAAAGCGTATTGTGAAAAGCAGAAGAGGTTACGCATGGGGCTCGACATTCTCAACATTGGATCCACCACTAGCAAGATCTCAGTAAGCATAATCGGTTGTTACCAGGGATGGAAATTGTAAAGAGTTTTAGCAATTCTGGTTTTGATTCTACTGTTTCAGGTCCTTTAATGATTCCTTAGGAATTTGTAATGTTTGGAAAACAATTATTTTGAATGAATTACTCCCAGATTATTTCAAATTTCAACAGAAGTGAAATCAGAAAGGAAGTATTATACAGATCAAACAATTTCAACTTCTTCATATCTGGCAACTTCACTTGCTTTTTTATGTACATTATAAATCTCACAGGCTGATGATATGACTAGAGCCCAACATTAGTCACATGATCAGAAATCATTCTATGCTGATTTGCTGCTTGAGAAACATTTCTTCTTATTATTATTATCAATGTTGAAAACTGTTATGCTACTCGATATCTTCTTATATTAATAGAAATGTTTTTTTTTTGTTTTTTTTTTTTAAAAACATCATTGATTTGAGTTAGAAATCTTTTGGAACATTATGAATTTCTATACTGTCACTCTTGATCAGTTTAATTCATAGTTGCTGAAAAAGGTATTAGTTTAAATACAAATAAAAAAATTTTACTGACCCCAAACTTTTGAAACTATTTTTGCGGAAATTTAGAACTCTTCCGATCGAATGCAGATTATTTAGAACCAAGTAAAATAATCTGCATACTATCGAAAGTGTCCTGAAGTTCTGCAAAAGTTGGGTTTTGAATAAGAGCTAGTTTCCATTTCAAACCCTAGCTGTTACATTTCAATCTAATAATCTCATGGTAGTAGTAATTTAAAGTGTGCATTTTGATTGATACAGTTGTCCTAATTAACATTTTTACCTTTTCCACCTTCCTTTCTTTCAGGTTCAGCAGGGTCGTACAGGTAACAGTGAGAAGGAGATCACAATACCTACTCATTCATCTAAAGCAGACTTTTCCACTCCATCCAACCTGTATAAAACAGGAATCAACCCAGCGAGGTATGGAACATAAACACGTTCACTCACACAACGACTAGTTGAAATCGTCATTTGTTTTAGGGCTGCAACTAATGATTATTTCAATTAATCGATTACTGCAAAACTTTAAATAATAGCCAAGTCCCAAATGTTTTTTTTACACTCCTGGTGTGGCTGCAGGTTTGGGTAAATAAAGGCCGGTCTCAAATTGCGGCCGGGTCTGCTTTTTGGTGGCCCCCAAAGCAAATTTTTGTCCCGCCAGAGCCTTTTTTGATCGGTGAGTGATGTAGAATAGAGACTGCTGCGATTGACAGGGCGCATAACGAGGAGAGAGAGAGAGTGCCCCAAGAAACACAAAGCTGTCTTCCTCTCTCTCCCTCACGCATATCAAAGTCAATTGACACGATAGTAAAAGGTCAGAAGACTGCAGTTTTATGTGGAGCATTTGGAGATTTTTAGAGATTAGAGACTCTAGGCCTACACTCAATGAAAACATCTCAACACTTAATTATAAAGGTCTGTCTCAAAGAGACGACTGTCTCAAATACAAGCCGGTGCAGTTCGACGATTTGGGAAAATAAAAGCCCGGGCTATTATTTGAAGGTTTACGGTAATCGGATAAAAAAAATTCAATTTGATTTTTTGTTTATTATAACTAAATAAAACCCTAAATCAGAGCAGGACGAGGCGAAATTGACCAAATAAATATAGAAAGACTGAAAACTAGTGTGTGAACATAGAGCCGCAGTAGATTGCGTTTGAAATATAATTAAAACGTAATGGTAGACAAATACTATAAAAAGAGAACGGAATGGAGGTATGCAGCAAGCTAACAAGCTTGATTTAAAGGACAGGAAAAATGATGCATTAGTGCACAAGGATTCGCTGAAAACCTAAAAAAACAATCTTTTATTGCTGCTGTTATTAACTGCCTTTATATTTAGTGTTATTGTAATCCATCACTTATGTTGCAAGCGAACTGATTGCGCAACCTGATGCTCGAGACAAAATACAAACATCTCAAGTCTCGTGGAAGTTTCGGGAGTCACCCGCATATTATAGATAGTGACTCCCTGATGCCTGCAAATCTGTTCAAACTCCCGGAATCAAGAGCGCGCATGCGAGACAGAAGAGACTGTGCCCTAAACCTGTAGCGTGCGCACACAGAGGGAGAGAGACTTTGCGTGTGTGTGCCTCATGAAGCGAGCATCATGATTGGCCTGTTTCAACCAATCACCAGTAAACGCTCCCTGTGATGTAAGCAGACCAACTAATTGATAATGACATTCGTTGACAACACTTTTCATAAGCGATTATTATCGATTAGGTGTTGCAGCCCTAATTTGCTCCAGTTTTAGAGTCATGTTTGGGGGAGAGGGGACTAGTAACACATTTTTTGCCTGTCTGCTCTTACCCATGCCCTCATAGGATGTCCCCTCCACACTGGGCAGGACCTCCCACTCAAGAAATGCCATATTATACGTAAGTGGGAGGTGACATGGGAGTGGTTTGTCTTGCAAGGACTGATTAGACATTTAATTATGAAATTTAGTGGGCTTCATTTGTTGTCTTTCTATGTTTTGCTGATGACTGCAGTTCATTTCTGTTGGAGATGTTTTAATCTAGAAAGCACTATGAAAAAAATAGCAAGATAAAACATGCTGCTATGACAACAAACTCTGCAACCTGGACCTTTTTTGTGCAGATATGTGTAGCTTTTAGTCCTGTATTTAATATTGATTTATTTATTTTTTTAGTGTGTGTGTTTACCTAGTTTGGCAAGACATTCTGGTAGGGGTGGGCAGTGTGACCAAAATGTTATTTTAGGGTGTATTCACTTTGAATCACAATATAATTATTTTTTTTCTGAATTATATTTTAAACCGTGATGTTGTAATTAAACAATATTGGAAGAATGGTCTGATATTTGGAATGAAGGCACGATTTGGGAGTGTTCTTTTATACAAAAAGTTCAATGCACAAAAAGCTAATATTTGAGTAACTTACATTTTAGAGCCGCTATTGACAGTCTGTTTTTGCTCTGTCTATGACAATGGTTCCAAATTAAGCTGAAGCAGGAATTAAATATTTGATCTTTTGAATTTGGAACATGATTTATGCACAACAAACCTTATGGAATAAACTGTGAAAACACACTTGTCCTTAAATGAAAAAAATGGCAAAACTAAGTTCTGATTGGATGAGCCACTTTTAAAGTAGTTGCAAAAATAACCATACATCAATTTAATTCTAAATTAATGTTGTGAGTTACAACGTTGGCTGCATTGGTGTTATTATTAAGAAAAACTGTAAATAAAGCTGATATAAAGTAAAATATTAATATTAGATGAAAAACTTTGTTTGAAGAATTACATATCGCCCTGCCCTCCTCTGACGTGTGCTTTGTATGCATTTGTAAAAACAGAAATGCATGTACACCCTAAAGCTGTATGTGTACATATGTTTTTGTTGCAGGAAGACGCCCGGGACCATAGATGTGATTGGAGGAGGAACTGCCACCATTAGCAGGGTAGAAGGACGACGTCGCCACAATCTGGAGGGGAATAACATCCAGGTTACACATATGACATGCTCTCACGCTCTCCTCAGTCTCCACACTGTAAAACTACTTATCTGGGAACTGAATCATGTGACTTCTAACACTCGTAGGTGATCTCGGAACATTCCACTTCTGACACCGAACCGCCCGCGGTGGCTAAGATGCCGCCACCTTTCTTTCCTCCAGGGCCACTCCCTCCAAACATCCCGCCTCCTCCATTCCTCCCTCCTCCTGTCAGTCAGGCTCCACCTCTAATCCCGCCTCCACGTGAGACATTTGTCTTGTATTTGTTACTTTAAATCTATATGAAAAATGAATGAATGCATCACTTTCTACAGCATTGATAATAGCATTTGTAATGTATTTCATGGTCTATCTATCCCTTTTTTTTTAACAGGGATGCCAATCACTGTTCCGCCTCCCAGTAAGTTCATCCTTCTTTGAATGGTCGAGTGTGCAATGACATGACAAACATAGCAAAAGTAACTCAATATAAAGCTCTGAAATGTTTTTAAAAACATCTGTGTGTGTAATTGCAAACTTTATGACTGATTGTGTTTAAAAAATCTTAATTATTCCTCTTTTCACTATGATTGTGTTAAATCTCGTTTCTGTTTCTCGTTGTAGATTTCCCTCCTCCCACAGGAGGACCTCCTCCTTCACTGATCCCTACTATGGACAAGTAGGTGTAGCTTCTGTACAACTTTAATACTTCTGTTACAATTTCGTGTATTAGAGATGCACTGATTGTATCGGCCAATAATCAGTATCGGCCAATTGTTTAAAAACAGTCGATGATCAATGCCGATATGCTGTCAATCAAAAGGGTGCGGGAAAAGGTGTCATACTGCAACTCATACTGTGTGTGAAGAAAATCTCTTTTTGAATTTATGACAGGTTAACGTGACAATAGGGCTTCAACAGTTAAAAATAGTGACGTTAATGCAGGCTTTATTTGACCCTATGAATTAGCCGTAGTTTAAACCAGGGTTCCCAGAAGGTCTACGGGTTTTCCCTACATTATAGTGTTTCAACCACGGAATATAATAGCTCTGTTGTTAATTTTAACTTCTAATATTATAGTGTACCAAAATAATAGTTTGCAGCAGCATTTGAGTGAGATATTTTTATGATAACTATTGGATATTCTGAATAATCAGATATCTGTATCGGCAGAGAAATATAGTATCGTGCATCTCATTTATATATAAATTAATCAGGGATTGTACAAGGTGCTCAAAGTGCTTTGAATGGTAGTGTAGATTATTTTGATATGGTTTTGACAATTTCTTTTTTTTTTTTTTTGTATACCTTTTATCCTTGGGTAATTCTTGTAAGCATGTATTTAGATTTACATACTTGCTGTTTTTGAAAATATATATATATATATATATATCTGTTACCATTTAAATGTTATACTTGACTTGCACTTCTTTAACAGTTCCTTAATTGTCTGTGCGTTCTGTTTTAGCAGTGGGCACCCTGGAGGATATGATGGACGTCCTGTTGCTCCATACCCTTTTCCTACAGGTAAGTAGTGTGGTACTGGATCTCCCCAGTCTATTATAATCACCTGCAAAACTCATTTAATTTAGATCTCGGTTACAGGTCACAAGTACTTAAATATTTGCCAGGCTTTATTGACCTCAATTAAGAATCAGGCGCATTGGGGTTTGTTCCGATGGTTCCGTTTTCAGGTGGGTTTCCACCACCCATGCAAGGAGCTGTTAGCCCCTGGCCAGGTTTGATGGACAACCCAAAGCAGTGGGACTACTACCCCCGGCGAGACAAAGAGAGGGAAAAAGATCGAGAAAGGGACAGGCAGAGGGAACGAGGCCACGAGAGAGACCACAGTCCCACCCCTGTGGCTTATAACAGGTCAAAGATGATTTCAACCCACTCATTTACTACACAGATATACTCTGTTTTTCACGTGTAGAATTGTCATTAAACATTAAATTCTTAGCTCAAAAACTCTTTTAAATTTAAAGTGCCTAGTTTCTCTTTAAAAAAAGAAAATGTAAACTTTTTTTTATTGATTTAAACTTGGTCTTTTGCAGTGATGAAGAAAGGTATCGTTCTTACCGTGAGTATGGAGAAAGAGGGTACGAGAGGCATCGGGAGCGAGCGAGCCGCGAAAAGGAGGAGCGTCACAGAGAGAGGAGACACAGAGAGAAAGAGGAGGGGAGGCACAAGTCATCACGGAGGTATCGTATCAGGGTCTACAATTCATGGAGGCTTGGGGTAAAAATGCCCCAGTAAAAGTTCTTTTTAATATTTGTAACATGATGCAGTTAAGCAGGATCACTGTTTTCTTTAATATCAGCATTGATTGCAAATATTATATTGATTTTCTACAACAGTTCAATTAAAAAGAAATGAATATTAAAGTCGGCGTGAAACATATAGTGTAATTTAGTGTTTATTCTAAGTTTATTTTTTGTTATCTTTAAAAATAAAAAAATAAAAGATGTTTTAGAATTTGACATAAAAGATGAATCATATTTAATAAAATTGCCCTTATACTGAAAAAAAAAAAAAACTCAATTTAAGAGGACAAATAATGCCTTGTAATAGGAAAGGTAATTTCCATTATTGTAACAGTCTCATATAGCGCTCTGCATTCCCTTCAAAATACTTATTCTTTTCTCTCTTCCATCACAGCAGTAGCAGACGAAGACATGACAGCGAGGAGGGGGACAGTCACCGGCGCCACAAGCACAAGAAGTCCAAGAGGAGCAAAGAGGGCAAGGAGCCCAGCGAGGAGCATTCTGTTGACCAGGAGAACCAGGAGGCTATGGAGTAACTCCTGTCTGTCTTCCCCGCTCTCGTTCCTTCTTATGAGAGCGCTGGTTGTCAACCAAATCATGCTAAATGAAACTAAAATCCAGTTTACCTTCCTTTTTGTTGTCATGGTTTCCTTTTTTTTTTTCGTTTAGTTGTTTTTTTCCAGTGCTGTTGTACCATGTAGATGTTGATTTGTTGGATTAAAAAAGAGCATTTGTTAATATTTGTTGTGTCTTTTATACTGTATTTTGTGACTTGAGCAAATTGCAATCAACGTTCACAGTTGATCATGGTATCCATCTTGATTTATCATTTCTGAGATTTTTTTTTTATTTGGTCTCAGTTTTTTGGTTACTGTTCACTATTATAGATCATCTCACCAAGGCTGCATTTATTTGATCAAAAATACAGTAAAATTGTGAAATACATTACAAATTAAAATGAGTATTTCGTATGTTATTCCTGTGATGGCAAAGCTGAATCTCAAGCATCATTACTCCAGTTTTTAGTGTCACATGATCCTTAAATAAATCACTCTAATATGATGATGATTTGGTGCTCAAGAAACATTTCTTATTATTTATGTAGAAAACACTGCTGCTTCATGTTTTTGTAGAAACTGCTATATACATTTTTTTTTTAATTATTTGATAAATACAAAGTGTGAAAGAAAAGCATTTATTTGTCTTTACTGATGATCAATTTAATGCATTATTGCTGAACAAAAGTGTTTATTTGTTAAAAAAAAAAACGTACTGAGCCCAAACTATTGAACAGTACAGTAGTATACTGTAATTTCGCTACCTAAACAATTATAAATATTATTGAATAATACATTTGCAAGCAATAGGATACAAAGTGCAATAACTATTCTTTAATTAAAACAACATAGGAGATTATATATGTATATATTTCTTATGATCTATGTATATGTGTATTTTCTGTGTATTTTGTCGTGCTTTTGAAAACAGCAAATGCAAACTAAGGGACACATTTTTTGATCATTTCAACAGAAATATTTGAAGTTATAGGTGTCTTACGAAAGATCATAAATTGTATTAGTAATAAAAAAAATGCAGGTCACACCCCAAATATTATATATACACCCGTTTATTTTGACCAAAGACGACTTTGACATAAGAAAACCTCAAGCAGTGAGCATGTGATTTACATACTCTCGCGATACATCCCGAGTCCACACGAGATTTTCGGCGGATGTTGATATTTTGATCCGGATTTCTGTACTGTCGTTTCTCACCGAGGACGTACAATCTGCGTTATTGCATTTATTTGAGTAACGTGTGCGAAACGCGGTCTTTCTCGGCGCTTCTCTCGGGAAGCAAAGAGGCCGAGGCGGAGGGCGATGATGGAGGACTTTGATGAGATATACGAGGAGGAGGAAGAGGAAGAAGAGGACGAGGACAGGGCCGCGGAAGAGCAGCTGCTCAAATACGCTCCGGACCCGGTGGTAGTGCGCGGATCCGGGCACGTTACTGTGTAAGACTCCCGGCAGCTCTGGATCTATTCAGATATAGATTTATTAATCTACACTGATCACACCTAATATATCAGGAGCTCAGTGCTCATTTAGAGACACAGAATACATGTTAAGTATCATTACTGCTGAAGACAAATATTTTTCATGACATATTATCTCAAAAACGTTTAACAACCTAAAAATATGTTGAATGTTCGGATGCGCATGCAATTCCCCAAAGAAATTGACAACTGACTATTATTTTGTGTTCATTGGAAAAAGTAACTTAAACGGGTTTGGAATTACGCAAGAGTGAGAATACGATTAAACGTACATTTTTGGTGAACTAAGTTACGTCTATTACAAGGATTTTCTATCTTTTATATGCCCCAGACCCCCAAACATATGACCCCCAAATATTCTCATGCGAGGGACCTTGGATAAAGACCTAATTTATACAGTGAATCTAAAATATTTTTGATTTCTGCTACATTATTACGTTTCTACACATTAAAGCAGAGAGAGTAAGCTACTGTTGGATTGATTATTTACATAATATTATTAAATATTTACTTACTCATTCATATATTTATAAAATACTTTTGTTTTATATAATTTTTATTTATTTTAATCTTTTTATTATACATTTTTTCTCTTTTTTTGCTACCTGGTCTAGTAAAATGAACGTTATATTACATAGACTATTACAAAATATAGCATATTACAGTAAATCTACTTGTGCCTTTGTCGAAACTTAAATTTGAGAAATTAAAATCATAATATTTTAAGTATTATATATTGTTTTCTTTCCTGTAGGTTTGGACTGAGCAATAAATTTGAGTCTGAGTTTCCCTCAGCCCTTACGGGAAAGGTAAGTGTTATTTCAGTGGCTTTTTCATTCTAATCCCAGTGAGGAGTCTGTCATTAATTCCATTCAGGATTGAAATACTCTAAGACTGTTAAGTTTATTCACCCCAACATTTTTGTCAAGCTCAAACAGATGTTTAATAGAATGTTCAAGCTGCTCTTTTCCACATACTAGTTGTTAAGCTCGAAAGTGTGTATTTTACAATGTAGTGCCACACACAATTCTGAGGTCTGACATGAGTTGTAGTTGACTGACTGCTTCATTTGTTGATTTACAGGTTGCACCGGAGGAGTTCAAAGCCAGCATAAACCGCGTGAACGGCTGTCTGAGGAAGGCTCTCCCGGTGAATGTCCGCTGGCTGCTGTGCGGCTGTCTCTGCTGTTGCTGTACTCTGGGCTTTAGTCTGTGGCCGGTCATCTGTCTTAGCAAAAGGGTAAGTTTGTGGAATGTTCCTGCTTTAAAAGAAGCTTCCTGGGAAAATTAGTTAAACCCATTCTTCAGTTTGTAAAAGCCCAAATATACAATGGAAATACAGTATATAGGTTAGGAATGTGATGTAATATTTTGCATTCAATATTGACAGTTTTTAATTCAATAGAATTAACGGTAATGCTTTACAATACTGTTCCATAAATTGTATCTGTTAATATTATTTAATGAACCTGACTAAGCTAACATGAACTAACAATTGTGTTTTTAACCAACATTGACAAAGATAACTAGTTGTCTAATGGAACCGTCTTGTAAATAAGCTTTACATTTCTTCTTTTAAACACCCAGAATTCCTTGCCTTATAGGCTCGCTTGTGATTTATGTTTTCTTTATTACTGTTATTGAATTTTTTTCTACAAAGTGAGGGACAATATTTTATTTGATAATTGACTGCAGTAGACAATGGCAGTAAGAAAAAAAGAAAAAAGTGCATTTAAAAATAAAAATAGTCTGTTTTATATAAGTTCTATTTCGAAAAATTCATCAAAGAATCCTGGAAAAATTATCACGGTTTACACCAACCGTTTTAAACATGGATAATAAAACTAAATTTTAATTGAGCACCAAATCCGCATATTAGATTACATACAACGATCATGTGACACTGGAGACTGGAGTAATGATGCTGAAAAAATCAGCTTTGATGTCATAGGAATAAATAAAAACTTTAAATATAATTAAAATTGCTAACAATTATATTGAATAGGAATGATATTATAACAATATTACTGTTTTTACTTGTATTTTTGGTCAAATAAATATAGCCTAGGTGAGAGAACTTTCAAAAACATGTAAAAAAAAAAACAAATCTTACCAACCCCGAAATATTTAAAAGATATGGGTACATAATAGGACATAAATAACTTCTCTCGTCGTGTGCTGAATAGTGTCTTTTTCACCAATAGACACGCAGATCCTTAGAGAAGCTATTGGAGTGGGAAAACAGCAGATTGTATCACAAGGTACGTTGAAGTTTGTGCGTTTGTTTGCAGTTTGTATTTTACCGTCAGGTGCTAATTTTACGACATGTTCATTTAGCTGTGTTTGCATTGGAGGCTCAGCAAAAGGAAGTGTGAAACCAACAACATGATGGAATATGTAAGCCAACTACAACACACACACACACCTACAAATCGTACTTATGAAAATTGTAAATTCACCTCCACCGTTTCTCTCCATCCTAGGTCATCCAAATAGAGTTCCTTCCCAAGATTCCCATCTTCCGGCCGGATTAGCAGTGGCGGGCTAGAGCTCATCCCTCCGGCGTGGTCTTCCTGAGGTGCCTTTCTCCGGTACTGTCATGGTTTTATCATGTGGCCTCGTCTCTTTTTCCCTTCACACTCTGAGCAAAAGACTCGCCTCACGTCCGAGCGCCACTCACAGCACTCCTCACCGAGAAAGCAACTGTTTACAACCCACAAACACACATACCGAGACACACGTCTGTGCCGTTTTGGTTTCGCGAGTGCATGAACACACACTGAGGGACCTTTACTGCGAGGAGGCCACGGAAAGTAACTTCCGAGACTGGAAACGTCTACTATACCTTAATCGCGTCACACTAGCTAAGCGACTTCCTGTTGCCGACAACATCACTGTGGAGCGAATCAGTGAAGAATGGCTTGAGGAAGTGGCGGCTGTAGAATTAAACCTTTCCTGTTAATGAATTAAATAAAAAGATGGATGGTAGGAATCATTAATACGGATTTTCAGTTAGCGTAAAGCTAAATGGATACGGTCAATGCACAATACATAGTTCTCCATCTCTCCTTATCACAAATCATCATCTATATACAAAGACAATCAAACACTGACTGTGCCACGCACCATCTAGACTCTGACGGGACTTTTGAGTCTAGTGGAAGTCTTGGATCTGATGCGGTTCAAGTGCACCAATGGGTAGTGACGCAGCACAGATTGTTTTTTTTTTTTTTTTTTGAGCATTTTTTATCTTTGTTTACTTGCTCAGTTTAAAAAGACGAGCAGCAAATGTTTGTCTCTTGATTTGTGTGTGGAGGTGTTCGTTTTTGTCTGTCCCTGAGATATTTTGTTCACAAGTGAGACAAATCAAAACATTTATAGGTTTGTTGGGTCATTTGAAACGTTCTATTGGGAGTCAAACTTAATAATAATAAAATAAAATGAACCCACAAATATAGGATTTTCTCCAGGGCAGAAAGACATTTATTTCTACTTTCTACTTTTTTTTTTTTTATTTAATCTTTTTCACTTCATTTTTTTTCATCTTTGTTTCAATCCTGGGTCAGGTGTGAAGACTAAGCAAGTCCTATGCAGGCATTTTCTCTTAGTGAATTATACTTGTGTAAATGTATCCAATTGTAGGTTAATAAAACCGAAATACTGTCCCAAATACTCAATAAGACAATTGGTCCTATTAGGTCTCAAAACCTGAAATTTATGAAGTGTGTGTGTGTGAATACTGAATATTATTGCTGAAATTACTATAGCCCTATCTCTTGTCTGATGTCATCCTAAATCCCAGGGACATCGTCTTTATTTTTCAAAAAAATATTTCAGTGTATTTATGTACAATGTGTACAGAAATAAAACATGCCCAACTTGATTTTAGTTCCATTTACTCCTGAATGTATGCCTATTTTTTAATGTCTATATAGTATAAATTGAATTCAAAATATTTTATATAAAATGTATTAACCACAATTATTGTGGACCAGTCTGTCTTAAAATTATACTTGTTGATTAATACTCTTTCCATTAGGGGTTTATGAATCTCAAATATTAAACAACAGTATGACCTGATGACCAGTCATTACGAAATGAGCGAAAAAATAGTCTGATCTTGTAGATGGCCTCTTTCATGGTGTGCTAAACTCACACAAATATTTTTGCTTGTATTCGTCATTTGCAAGTGAAAAGTCATTTGATTTGGATGAACACGTCTGATAAATCAATAAACGTAAATGTAAGTACCATAGCTGTCAATTTTCAGCTGTCAACTGTATCCTCACAATTTCAAAATTTTGCTGCTATTATTAGATAATACAGTGAGCTGTGAACAATTTAGAAACCAATAAATTGTACAAAGTCAATGAAAATCATCTCTCAGACACAGTTAGACATGTATATTGTAAAACACATCAGTTACAGACAGTGAAACAGTGTGTTGAAGCAGCTCTCACTCCTCCCATGTGTCTCCATATATATTCTTTTTCCCTGTTTACAAAATAAATAAATACATAAACACTGTGAAGGTCATGTTAAATGAATCATCCATACATTAATTTTCCAAAAATGCATTCATTTTCTACTTGTCCAATATGGGTACAGTGTAATATCACACAGGTATTAATTCCTCTTTAAATGATTATTAAATATTTAATTAGGGTTTATAGATAGTTTCCATGACAGAGTTCAAGATAAATATTTTTTATTACTACTGGAGCAGCCAGTTTGCTAAGTTTCAAATGATTATTAAACGGCAAACACAAACTACGCAAAAGTGTCCGAATTCACTCGTTTTTTCATTATTAGTGGACTAATGTAGGGAATAGAGAATGATGGTATAGGGGGTGATTTCGAACACAGCTCTAGTTATGACGTTGGATAATATATTGGCAGGTCTCTCACCTCTCTTGGTTGGGGTGGAATCGGCCGAAGACTTCGGCAATGCGTCTGGTTTCTGAGTCATTGTGACTTCATAGTTTTCCCTGTTCTTACTCTGTAGGTCCTTGTATAGAACATGTTTCTTCTGTGCATCATCCTCAATGTAAGATGATTCTGCTGGATTTGAGGGAAGGTTTTAAATACCACAAATACCTCAGATGCATTCACATGTAATTATTGTAATGACCAGATTTTAACTTGTAAAACGTATTCACATCCGACCTCGTAGAGCTCGTAATTTCAACTAGGAAGCTGGGAATTTTTGGAGAGCTTCTACTTGAACCACACGCCGCTGCAGATTAATTTGGGCATTGATAGTGTTGTCACAGAAATGCATAATTCCTAGTCTAATGAGGAATGAACAGAACGTCAGGGGTGTAACGGTACACAGAAGTCACGGTTCGGTGCATACTTCGGTTTTAGGGTCACGGTTCGATACGTGTTCAGAACATTTACGCATCCGGCCTCCCTAGATTTCTGATTGCTTAAAATTAAAAAATTAAGGAATAGTTGATTTGTTACTCTTATTAGATTGACCAATGCTGCAGACTGAAATGCAACGGCTGTTTTCAAACGTATTGGTTTGATTACCGTGTTGTGCGTAGCCATGGCTGTCATTCTCATTGAGTTCAATATTACGCAATATTACCTCAAAGTTCAATATTACGGTTTTCCAAGAAATCATGGATAGATGAACGAGAAAAAGAGCCATCTACACATGAGACGACACAGTGAGTGAAATGGCACCTGAGGCTTCCCATTCCCAGTATACGAATATTTCATCCCTGGACAGTAGTGAGACTTCCACTGCCGTCTCGGTTTCCTTTCCGCAAAGTTTATGGAGCGTATCACAAAGTTTAATCGAAACTCAGAGTATAGGCTACTTAGCAAGCTCTTGTGTGTGATCTAAACTAATGTTTTGGGGGCATAGATCATAGATCTTTTTTTTTTTTTTACCTAAAGCAAACAGTGTTGCATTACCACGAGCGCCCCCTTCTGGACTGGAGTGTGAATTGCCTGTGACTGACTCTATTCTTCGTCTGACTGTATGCACCGAACCATGACATCCATTCAGTGACTGTTTGGAAGGAATAACATGTACCGTTACACCCCTAGGTCACACATATATTAAGATATAGCATAAAATAAGCATATTTGGCGTGCTGTCCTGTTGAGTTTAGTTGACTCCCTGTTTAAAACTCTTGTCTATAGCTTTCTATTAATCCTGAAGACCTTGATTGGTTCAGGTATGTATGATTAGGGTTGGAGCTAACCCTTGCGGTACAGTAGTTTGAGGTGAACTATTCTACTGTTTAAAAATAGGCTAAGTAATAACTAAGATCTGCAGCAAATGTTAAGGATAATAAGACCTACAGCAGTTTTTAATGCAAATAAATAATGACACTTTAACTTGCCTGTAATTTGAGTGCCAGAGTGGTTTGTTGTATGCATGGGGTTAGTGTAAGTGAAATCACTGGCGTAGGAGGCCGACTGATCCCTCTGATCATCAAGCTGAAACACAGGCTCAAAATCAGCTTTGTTTGGATCACTCAACCCTGGCTGCTCACTAGGAAACCTGGAAAAAAAAATATTTAAAAAATGTCTTCCAAAACATTACTCCTTTTATTTAAAATTATGATAAAATGGAAGTAGTAGCTGATCTTTTGTTCTGCATTGTTAGGCCCTGTTTACACCTGGTATTAAGAAGCGTTTTGGTCGATCGGATCACAAGTATCGACCAAAAGTTTTTGAAAAACTGAAAATTTTTGTCCACTTTCAATCACTTCTGTCCTATTTATTTAAATTAAGGATCTATGGGTGGGTAAATTTCTGGGGGGGGGGGTTCAGATATTTCGATCTAATGGACAAAATAATCTCACGTGAATGTGCCCTGAAAGGCATACGTCTTTCAGGGCACATTCGTATGCCTGAAATCTGGCATACGTCAGCAGTCCTTTTCACCAGAAGGTCCAGTTATGACATTTAAATTAAAGTCCATGTAAAGGGAATTCTAAATTATTATTATAAATGTTAGAAATGTATTTCTAAAACTTATTACAAACACTGTGAACTGTGATGTACTGAATTGTGGAGTCAGACCGTTAAACATTTTTTCACCATTGCTTACTTTGGTGGTTGGTGTTGCTGTTTCTGTCTCAGTGCCTCCCCTAGTGGTGAATTCTCCAAGCTCATAAACTTTTCCTGGCATGTCTTCATGTATGATATCTTCCCTCCGAGGTACCCACAAACACCAGCAACTAACACATACATACACATACAAGATGCACATACATATTTTTAACATTCAGTCTAACAATAAACCACCTCACAGTTACATGGACAGTAAATTTTACTCACAAACTACTTTAGGCAATGATCCAAATCTGCCAGAGGACGTAAGAGCTCCTATAAAAATGAAATCAAAACATTTACATTATTGTTCAAAGGTTTGGTTTCGGGTAAGATTATCAAGAAACCCACCTCTAGAAATAAGGAACTGAGTGAAGGCCATGCTGGTGGCAGATATAGGGAGAGCTGTATGTACAGTAAGTAAAGACAGAAACATAAGTCAGTTATTATTTCAATAAAACCACAAGAATAGTAATAGATAAAAACACTGAACATTTACTCACATCTGTACCAGAAGCTTTCCTGATTGCATTGCCTGAACACCTTCCTCTCCTCCTCAGTAGGGTTGTAGTCAATTCCAATGGGACCCTACATACACATATTGAAACATATCATGTTAATAATATACACGCGCACACACACAAATATCAAGTTTTCTGCAGCTCTCTAAATATGATTTATATTATATATATATATATATATATATATATATATATATATATATACCTACATACAGTATATAAATATGTAACATTAAAGTATTTATTTAATAATATCATGAATAATAATAATAACATAGTATAATAGTAAGATAATAATATTATAGTAATATCCAGACAATTGTATAATGGATCTAGCATGCATTCATGCATTATGATGCATAAGCAGGTCTGATTATGTGACGCAATAGTGGAGACCAACATCATTCAGCATTATACAATGCATAACCTGGCAAAATCAAGTGTTGTTTTGTTACCAAACACACCAAGGCCGCATTCCTTGGGCGTTCACGGTCCGCTGGAGACTGCTCGGACATTGTGCATCCTATGTCTTTGGCTGTTGCTCTCATAGACGGCTTGCTCTCATAGGATAATGCTGCTCTTGCTCTCGAGTCAATAATGTCAAATCTACGGGAACCTTCTTCCTCGACTGTACCGTAGAAGTTCATGGTGACCACCAGCTGTTAGTGCCACCATGCGGTTTGACATGGAATAGCGTCTACAACTTTGTTGTAATTTTTGCCTAATCTCAAAATGGTCGTAACTCGTAAAACATTAATTTTCAAAATATACGAACGCGTTTTACACGAAAAAGAACATATTGGATCATCATTCACGAACTTTAGGTCGCCAGGTACCTTGTACTGATATTTAAAGATATTTAAAAGATTTCTATTTTAAATATGCTGTTGAGCTTTTTATTCATCAAATAATCCTGAGGGAAAATAATGTTTATGGACCATTTTGCAAGATGTAAACAACACTGGTCCAGAAACACTTCCTGTTTCAGTTTGTAACTGTTTTCTTTATTTCACATGTAAAGAAAAAATCTTAAAGATGTTTGTTTAACTTTTTGATTCAGTTTTATATGTTCTGTTGGTTGTATTTTATCCCAGGTTTTATGTAGTGTTAAAAAACCTAAACAGGAAGTGCTTCTGGACTAGTTTTGTTTACATCTTGCACAGTTTTCAACAGTTTAATGATGCTGAAAATTCATCTTTGCCATCACAGAATAAATTACGCAATAAATTAAATAAAAAATAAATGTATTAAAATACATTAAAAATAAATCATTCATTTTAAATTAAATTTAAATGTATTTCAGAATATTACTGTTTTAATTGTCTTTTTGATGAAATACGAAATTCACACTGTAAAAAAATGAAAGCAATTTTAACTGTATTATTGAAGAAAAAATGAGAAATAACCAAATACATTGTTGTAGCAGTGTGTATTGCTAGATGTACACCTTTAAATTGCAATTTTATTGTTTGCAAAATACTGTTTTATGCTGTAAAATTTAAACGTTGTTTTGTAAATATAAATTAGTTCTGTATTATTATTGAATTATTATGGCAACCAGCTGGCACAGGTTTTTATTTTATTTTATTTTTTTAACAACAGAATTTTTTTTACAGTGCAGCCTTGGTGAGCAGATGTCTCCTTTAAAAAAAAAAAAAAAAAAGAAATTAGAAAATCTCACTGACCCCAATGTCATGTATTAACAGACATGTTTATATCCTATTCTGACATTCTTTATCAATGCTCTTGTGGTTTTAGAAGTGGACTGAAACAAACAGTCTAAACTGGGAAATCTGTTATTCAGTGATTGATCTGCTCCAAACAGATTTATATTGCTCCTCTCCTTTTCAGGTCACAGGGTCTGTCGGTTTGTTAGACTATTTTTAGCCAACATTCTATTTTTACTTTCATTTTTAGCATAGACAGTTTGTCAGTCTATCAAATGCATGATAAGAATAATAAACAATATTAGAATAATATACTAAGCTTCATGATAAGGAAATATTTATTTTGATATCAAACATTTACAAACCTTAGATGTGTTTATTTACAATTCTAACCAGTTTTATTCCACTGCGTTCTGTGGATACACTAATTACTTTAAATAAACTTTACAAAATATATCAAAACATCAGTCTATTTTGTCTTTTTAAAACATTTAAAATAGGTGAAACCATGGTTTATATTGTGACAAATGGGTCTATATGCTCTATTGGGGGATGCGGTCATAATATTCACATTCAGTCTTTGTAAAGTATCATTTTGATGCAAAAAGCGTGACAACTGGTTTCATATGATCTAATATCGCTATTATTTTCAGTTACAGTAGTTGACACTTAATGAGTGCTTTTAAACCAGCAGAAAGCACTGCAATTTTACTCTGAAGTCACAACTTGCTCTTCAAAGAGAGAGAAAAAAAACTAGGAAGTACAAACTTGCATTTAATATAAGTCCTTACATGACATCTATTCTATGTAAATATTTTAGGGACAATTGTTTACCCCAGAGACCTGTGAGGACTGGCCATTTTGCTTACAGACTGAGATTCTGGAATAGGCCTCAGCATCCTTCCATTCACATGTAGATTGGAAAATGGATGGATGGATGTTTCCCCCATTGTCATAATCAAGATCTCATTCATTCAGAAACTGATTGTCATGTGATCTAGTGCGGATGGAGGGTCAACATGGGCTGATGTATTGATCAGTGCCCTAGATTCAGGGTTCACACATTCGTTTTTTGTTCTCACTAGAGGACATTTTGCTTTTTTAATTCTCGGAAACCATGCATGTCACAGTTTGTATCTTAAAAAGGGAATAGGCTGTTCAGTGATTCCCGTTTTTTTGGGGATACAGCCTCACATAGTTCTTTAAAAATGTCTGACCATTCACAGTTCAGCTCATTTTATGGAAGAATAAAATTAGGTGAGTTATTTTGGCAACTTTTAAATCATTTTGTAACTTTTTACAATTTTATGTATCACATAAATGTAATATATTTTAAATTGTAATACAGAAAGAAATATATTACGACAAAGTTATTTTAGTATCATTATCATATCATATTTTCTTATGTTTTCTATTTTCATGTTAAGTTAAAGTTTTAGTCATTTTGTTGTGTTTTTGTCATTTATTTATTCATTTTATTTTTAGTTTGGTGCATGTCAAACTAAATGAAAATGAGAAATTATGTTTTTTTAATATAGTTTTTATTTATTTAATTTTATTTCAGTAACAAAAAATGTCTGTGTTTGTGTGTATGATGTTTTTTTGAAAATATGAAAAAGCAGAAAGTTTTCTTTGAAGGGCAGGTTTACTGTAAGGGGATAGAATATACTTGTACAGTATAAAAATTAGTATGTCTATGGAGAGTCCCCACAAAACGTGACAACATAACATGTGTGACATAGAAACAATTGTGCAGTATCATCACAGGCTTCTTATTAGGACTTTCATACCCCAAACATTAAATCCAGACTCCTTTGCACAGTCATTAGCTGATACCACACGTGGACACTTTGAACCACGTGCATTGACACACACACAATCACACCCACACACACACAGACTCCCTATACCCACAGTGTTATCACTGACGTGGTAAACCTTGTACAGGGGAATCCTAAATGCGCTGGTGGGCGTTTATAAATGCCCCTGACCGAGCAGAGGTTGTTGGACTGAGCCACTCTGAACAACAGCAGAACTGAAACAGATCACCTGGACACATTTGTCTCATCGAGTGTCTCCTTCAAGACAAATGCTTGCGTTCATGGCTATAGTTTTGTCAGATATAGTCTAGTAACTACCTGTGCACTGGGTTCAGGTGAGACAGGTAGAGAGGGAACGCGGTTCAGACTGTAGATAAGTCACGTATTGAACTCAAAGGCAGGTGAAGTGGGCTGAACATAACCACGCACGCGGCTGAAAGATTCGGAAGTGTTTGGACAGCTTTAGCATTGAGAAACTACACATTCAGGTGAGTACTTTGTGAAAATGCCTTTATTAAATGATATTTTTAAAAACATTTCAAGTACTATATACAGTATGTGGTGACACTTTACAAATAAGGTCACATCAGTTAACATTGGTTAATTAACTTTAAAAAAATGATACAATATGTTTTAATGTTATAGTTAATAAAAATACATGACAAAAATTAACAGATGAAGAGTTCAGATGCAAAGGCCTCTAAATGCCATTTGAAATTTTCTTCTTTAATGAAGTTTGATTTTTATCAAGTAATTTCACTTAAATAACAATTAATAGGTAATTATCATTGCCATTTAAGTGAAATCACTGAACTTAAATATACAAGCTTGATAAAAAAATTATCATTCTAGAAGAAAATTTCAAATGGCACTTAGAGGCTTTTTCATCTGAACTCTTCAGATACAAGTTTTGATTTTAATAATGTATCAATGTTGAAGAATAATAAATGCTTTATAATATATAAATATATCATATATAAATCAATTATATGTTAAGACACTTAAAATTCATCCTACCTTTTGTGACACTGCATTCATGCATTTAATTTAATCATTTCATTCTTTTTGAGAAAACACTTTCTATTATTCCAGCCAAATAGTTGTACCATCCTTTAAAAGATTTAAAACAAAAACATCCAAAAGATGAAATTCGCTTGTACCATTTAAATTAATATTTTAACATTCATTTGATTTTTGTATATAGCCAATAACATAAGATGAGCCATGTAGTCATTCACATTCTGTTCATTGTCATTGCTGAAGCCAGTGCGGAAATTGTTTGGCACAGTACAGAAATCAATATAAAACCATGTGAGATTGATCAATCGATGAAGCTCTGATTATTGAGAAGCCCTGTGTGTTGTGTCTATTTACTTACAAAAACCAAATAGGGTGAATTCAGGATGATTGGGACACTTTTTCCCAATCATCTCACTGGCAAAAAGTGTCCAACCTGAATTAAACCTACAAATCAAAAATTTGAACCTTGAATTTTGACAGTCAGATCATTTTTTGTCATTGAGTGCAATTCTTATTTATATGAATGATTGTTTATGTAAATCCATTGTATAAATCTTAATAAATAGTACATTATTATCTTTCATATCATATCTTATTTTTTCCAAACCAATAAAACTATTTTTCAAACCCTTTTATCTTTATAGATCCTGACTGGAGTACTATCACTGTGAGCATCGTGAAAATGCAATTCTTAGATAATTACATTTGTACAGTAGAGAAGATGCCGCAGGCGATTACAAATTATATTTAGTCCACTAAACATTAAAAGGCATCAATAAAACGGTAACAGGATGTATTTTTATTTACATTTTTACAGACAATGGCACCGCGACCAAAGCAAGAGGATGAATCTGAGGGGAAGCCAACAAAAACACTTGACGGTATGAACAGTGAACATCTGAGTAAATCGTAAATCAAACCTCATTTTATAAAGTTTCTCTCTCTTTCCTTCACGTGTTCTCTTAGTTCCCCGGGAGAAGTCTGTCTCCATGGCCCCTGCTCTTTCCACAGCAGCTCTGATTGAGGATGATCCCTGGGACATGGCAGAATTGCAGGACACAGGCGTTAAATGGGCAGGTATGCTGAATGTTAGCTTGGCAGTGATTTTCACTGACCTTACCAAAAGATGTACT